GGGAGGAGTAGCAGGACAACATTTTAAGGAAGAAGAACTAAGAATAATAATAATAAGTATACAGAATAGTAGTACATGTGCAGGAACACATAATCATTTGTGACTTTTGGTAGTTGAACCTTGGACTCTAACTGGAGGGATGTGGATTGCTGCACTCACATATGTCCTGGCTGCACGCCGGCAAAAAAGTGTCAAACTTTTCTCTCGCAGACCATCTGCTGCTGTCTGACACCCCTGTCCAGCTAAACATCACCCCAGGGGCACCGGTACTTGGATCTGCTGTTCCTGTCCCAGCTGGAAGCATCCAGCTTGGGAGTTCTTCCAAAAATCATTCCAATTCATCCAACTACAAACATGCAAATGATTTCCCACAGTGAAAACCATTAGTATGAATGTATGTCATGATGTACGCAATGTAATGAGACGGAAAATCAAATGGACTTTTATGTATTTGTAAGCACTCTATCGCTTTTAAAATGTATTTGGCAGGTTTTCCTGACCTTTTTCTCAATATTAAATATTTAAAACCATAGAAAATAAGAGATGTAGATTCACAATTTGTACTATGCAGACTGAATATAGCATTTTGTGCATTATTGTTATAAGCCCCTCAAGGAACTGGTTTTCAGTCTCATGAGATGATGGAAAAAATGTTTTTGAGTTAAAACATATGCACTGAATTATACAAGATTCTCAAGTACAGCAATCTACTCTGGTGACAATACCTGCAGTGATAAATACAAACATCAGCTCTCTTACCCACAAGGTCCCACTCTCCATTTGGTATGTATGTGGATGTGTCTACGTCCAGCATCTGGAGGTCCAGCAGCCAACCGTTGTGCGTCCAGGAGCCAAACTTCAAGTCACACTTCTGAACGTCGAAAGGGAACCAACGCACGTCGATGTAGCAGGTGCTCTTTAAGATGCCAGGAGGGATGTACTGGCAGTAACCTGATGCATTGACCAGTACATTGGTGTGGAAGGTAGCGTCGAACCGCTCATCCGCACTGGGCAGAGAAAAGAGAATAATATGTGTGTGTGAGTGTGTGCACTTTAAAACGATTTTTACATCAGAACAATCTACAATTCATTTGAATAAGGTCTTATTAATTTGAAATATTGCATAGAGATGACTTGTCACGAAAAATAAACATATGAAAGAATGTAGGGCATTAATGGAAAACATTTTTATTTTATCAACAAACCAAGAGACCGCACCTTTGTGGATGCATGGACACCAAAGCCACAACACAACTTGTTGACATTCCGACACTTTAAGTCATTCCTACATTATTACTCTGTCGTCCTGGGTCGGACCACACCCTCAGCCTTCATTGTGATCTCAATTACACACCTGTAAAGTTTCCAGACTGTATCAGAGACAGAGCTATCTTAGTGAGGACACTCATTGGCATAATGCATTCCCTAGCCCCTTACCCTAACCATCCAAACTGAATGCCTAACCCTAACCCTTAAACTAACCTTAGTTCTAAAACCAAGTCTTGACCCCCAAACAGTCCATTAAAGGTGGGTCACAAAGTGAGGACCTGCAAAAGTGTCCTCACTCCATATGTTAAAGGCTAAAACACATACCTTGACAACAGTCTCTGCTAAACAATCAGAAAATCATGCAACATTCAGGGAATAAGAACTATTAAATACCCACTAATTTCACTTTTCAGGAATAAACTTAATGATGCAACCCGGTTTTTGCTAAATAAACTTTTTAAACAAGTTTTAAATATTGTCCATGGGTGGGCTTAGGAAGGAATCTCTTTGGACTTTGAAATAAACATGAAACATGAAATAAAACTGAGGGGACAAACAGCCCTCATAATATAACAGTAAAACATTAACATTTAAACGTTGATATCCTCCTGAGGCTGCTGTAGGTAACGAATGTGTATTTAATAATACATTCTGAATTTACTTCTGTAGCCATTGCTTATATAAGGCATACTGTAATAAAAAAAAACAGAATAATCAAACAGGGGAAATAACTGAGTGAAGATTAAAGGGGCTTTTCTGTACAGCCTGCGAGTCAGGAGGAAAAACAGTGTAAAGCTCATTCATTATATGCAATGTCTCTAAAATACACCTTATACTGTACCTATCAAATATGTTTCGTTACCACACTGACCACCATACACACAGTGAGAAGGCACACAGTATATCTATACATGCGCACACATCAAAGCATGCACACACGCACACACACACGCACAATGTATTCCCCTGTGAGAGAGAGATAACATCAGTATCTGAAATATCCCGGAGCCTCATTCAGTCATGACAAAAGAACGTTGCCTCCATCTTTCCAGAATTCATAAACACATTTTATTTATCCCTTTATTTTCCCAGATTTAGAAATGTACCTTTTTTAAGGGGACGATGATTATTAAGTGTAATTTATTTCTCTAATGTGTGTGTTGATCTCAGCTACGGACCCAGCTGCTGGGGTAAGGATGCTTAAGTTGGCCACTAACACGCTGAATTAGTTTAGGCATTACTTTATCAGAAGGTGTGTGTTTTACTGCAATCTCACACATCACAGCACGTACTGTTCCAGTTATGTACATGTACAGAGCAAAAGAATTTGTGTCTAAAAAAAAAAAACAGTTGGCTTATTTAATCAGGAGTTTTGTGGATAAATGTTTTTCAACAGATATTCGAATGTACACATTTTTATTATAATGGACACGACTGGACAAGTGATAGCCCTGGGAGAATGGTTGTGTTCGTACAGCACTCACACACACAGGAGAAAGAGTACTGTGGACGTCTGAGACTAGGGACAAGGTGTGAACAGAAACTAACCGACAGTGACAATAGTGGCAGTGACAGGTTCCTGCACCATGGGACATGAGTCACCGAGCTTTTCTTCTCACTCACTCACTCACTCAACACCTGCTGCTGCCTACATACACACACTTGCACGCACACACACATGCACACAAACCCATACACACGCCTGGTAAAAAGAGGGAAGTGACAAAGTGTAACTGAGGCTGAAAGAGAGCCATGCAGAGTAGAATGAATGGTCACATACCATTAACTAGAATTACGACTTTAAGGTTGTGTGCCTTTATAGAAAGACATTTACAACACTTTTTGATGTCAACATGGACTTTTTGTCACAATCAGAGAATCAATTATTCAGTTATGGCCAAATAACTTTGACCTTCACCTTTGATGACCAATATCTGATAAATTCAACCCTCAATCCCAGTGAACGATTCCTGAGATATGTAATGACAACAGACTGACGTATGAATGGACAGACAGACACCTGAGAACATTATGCCTCAGGCCACAGCTGTCATTGACGCAGAGGCATAAAAAACATAATCTTGTGAGATTATTAAACCAGACTATGATGTAATATCGCAATCATGATGCTTAAAATAATTTTTAATACTTTTGCTTGATGCCTGCTAACAGGTTACACAGGCAGACACAGCAACAAGGAAAAATATTTGATTCTGATATGTTTGACTTTATTTCTTTGCAAACATGTTTTCTTGGTTGATTTTCAAATCAGATGGATAATAAAAACAAGAGTATAATAATCCACGAAGAAAAGCAAACACCTTCCCTGTAGCTTTTTTGCCATTGACAGTTCACAGCTACTGTGGGTCAGCAGAGAGACACATCTATCCATGTAGATTATGTCATATGTCAAATATAGCAGCAAAGTGAACAGCCTCAGGCTGTCCTGACATTAGCCATTCTGTCTGACAGCCTGAAGCCTCTGAGGTTAACAGACTGCACCAGGAAGCCTCAGGCAGCATTTACCGTATTTTTGTAATTTACATTGAGATATATTTATTAATGGGGACAGAGGCAGAGAGCATGTACATATATGAGCAATGCTGAGTGGATTACTTATACACATCTTCAAATTATACTGTAAGTCAGGGAAGGGAGTACAAAATGTGTTGTTAATAAAGTGTTACATTACAAACTAAAACTGCCTTTGGCTGGTGGATGCTCACCTTGTCAACTAAGACTTTTATTTATAGGACAGTAACGACACAGGATACCTTCAAACTGCACATTAGTAAACCTTTGTAAACGATACTGCTCATCGTTCTGTGATCAGCCAAGTCATTTGTTGCAAATATTAAGGTTGGTACTTTCACATCTTCGGCCTGAGCTCTTTATAAACCTGGATGTCTTAAGGACAGTGTATTTTAAAATTGTATTAACAGAGCATTTATTAATTTAAGTGATCAAAGAAAAGGCATCAAATCTGCCCATCTGTCTCTTCGTTTAGCCATCCAAAAAAACTGAAAACCCCTCCAAGTATCCATTTATTCAATGAATTCTCCTCTCGTCTTTATGGCCTGTCACACTGCTTTTGTCTTTGTTGTACATCAGTCTTCTACGCTGGCAGAATTAGGATTCGCTCTGTGGTTTACCTGAGTTGAGCGTCCTTCATGTGCCTCATCGATCCCCAGTCAAGTGAGACCATTGACTTTCCCCTCAAATGAAAAGAGGAGGTCAATGGCTTGCAAAGCTTTTTCAGATCTGGATATTATTTATACAAAAACAATGCATAATGCAAACACACATGCATACTCACATGCACACTGGCTGTCAACATTAGATTTACAGATGGTTCCATAGACTCCACAGCCCCACTGTTCCAGAACTGAAGCTAAAATATCCTGGGTCTTGGATCGATGATGTAATTTGGTGTCACAGTCTACAGTAATCTAGGTTGAAGCCGTGGTATCGAGGTTGAAATACACACACTTGCTTTTAAATCAAAAATAACATCTGCAAGATCCTGTTGAGAAGAGCCATATGTTTCTCTGTCTGTTCTCACACACACACGCACACACACACACACACATGCACGCACACACACACACACACACACCTAATTAATTACCCTAAACAACTCTAAGCTCCCATCTCACTAATACGCAGTAATACTGCAAACAGGGGAACACTAGTTACGTATATACGAATAAATAAAGACAGAATAGTCTTTAGCACCACACAAAGACACACACATTCACACACTATCTCACAATTACACACCAGTAATGGCCATTACTCAGTGGTCCATCAGTGCACAGCCAATAACACGCTAGTCTTACTGTGTTGAATAGAGGATGCATTCTCTCTCATTAGCATGCTGTTGAGACAAGCTCTCACCATAAATCCAATCATTCACTTCTACAGTTTTAAAATGAAGTTACTGATGAGCGAGTTCAAGGAAAGGAAGAGTGAGATGTAAAAGAAAAAAGCAGATATTGTCTCTGAGTCATTAAGCTCATACTGAAATTTCAGTTGGAAATCTCTCATATTGCTGTTCAATTTTTCACCTCATTGTGTCAACACTGAACACAATCATGTTTCACGCTCGTATGATCCATACTGTGAGTCATGGATTTACCATCAACACCACCAAGATGAAATGTCATAATTGACAGCTGAGGCTGACTCACGATTGGTCGAGCACGTGTATTATGACCTCCACACCACGGCTCCATCCCAGATCACTACTGTGCAGAATCTGTTGCCAAATGATGTCATAGATGCAACATGGCAACACTCTTATCTTGTGTGGGATTACCTGACTTTTTTTTCTATTTCCCCCCTGATCTGTAATAACGTTCCTCTTTGGAAAAGCAAATTAGTAAAATGTAACAGTATTTTTTTAAGAGGATCGAGTTGTTGTTATACGAGCAGATTTTGAGCAGTTGGCAGAGAAACGCTCAGCAATAGAGAAGGTGGTTGAGCAACTATAGAAAGACATAAACAGGTGGAGTGCGAGAAGGAGAGAGTGATGCTCTGACACTTTGATTGACAGAGACAGGCAGATGGGATGATTTATAAAGAGGAGTCAGTGAAGGCTGGGAACGATAAAATACTGAGGGAAAGGGTTGATTTAATAGAGGGAATTGTAGTGAGACAGTGAGTTATGACGGAGAGACAGAAGGAGACACGAATAGAATGAGATGAGAAGAGAGACGGTGAGGAGGGATGTGGGATGGAGGGAGAGGAAGCATAGGATAAAACACAGAAATGGGGGAAAAAGGGGGTGAGAGCACAGAGATTAGGTTTGGTAATCCCGGCAGGTCTGAACGCTGAGCTTTTAAAATTTGGGTTAATACCCCTGAACCTTTTGTTTTGTCCTCGTGTTCCCTGTAATAGTGTTTGTGTGTATTGGGGGAAATGTAGACACAAGGAGAAACATCAGGGGCTCCTCTCTCATCCACACAGTAACATCAGTGAAGACAAACTGAATAGCTTCTCTTTTACCCCCCTGTAAATGTTGAAATCTATCAAATCTTCAGTTTTACAGTGTGATTATCTTTATCTTTGTTACTGTATCTGTCCTCAGTATCTCGTCATCTTTCTTCCCCCTCTGTCTCAGGTTATATCATCTGTCTCTCAGTCAAGCATGAAAACGTAGTGTAATTAGTTGTTTTGCAGAGAAACAACTGGCCTACATTTCTAATAGACTTGAGGAATCCTTGCAAAGAAGTGTGAAGAAAAACACGGCGAAAGCAAACAGAAAAATCTGACCTGAATTACAAAATGCAATGAGCTTGATTAACCTCATTAATTAAGATAAAGACCTCTTCATTACTGTCTCAATGTGCTACAAACACACTTATATTTAACTGCAATACAACGAATGACCTGCAGCATTTTGAACTCTCTATACCTTTTTGTCAGCTTGACACTCTTTACCAGCCAATGCATTACAATTTAGTCTGATTGACAGTTTGAGCTGAGACCAATGGTATCTCACTGCGGACAGAGGAATCTGTCTGTCAACTTCAACTTGACAGAAAGGTGCAGCGCCGACTGAAGATTTTTGATAAGCTAAAAGATCTATATGAACCCAAAGCAACCATCCTACATCCAAGAAGTGCATTGCTGGACTCTTCTCGGGCCACACTTTCCCTTCATGCTTGAGACAAACTGCTTTTCAAAAGAAACTCACAATGTTAAAGAAAGTGAAAAAATAAATCCTGGATAAGCGCCCTGATTCAGATCCACACCAAACTTTAAAGGGTTCTCTCCTGACCCATACCACATCTTTGCACAGTTTATTCGTAATCGGTCCTGTCGTTTTTGCGTAATATTGCTCACAAACAAACAAACACTTTGCAAACGCAAAAGACAAAACAGTTGCAGAGGAGTAGACTTTTAATGAAAGTCTCAGGTTTTGACTCAAATAACAGCACAGATGTTAAAAAACAAAAGGACTACATTAGTGATCTTATATCGAACTGTGCTGAACTATGCACTGCACTTAGATGCAGCGCGGCTTAGTTATTATGTAATGGAAGCTGTGACATCATCAGTAACATCATGGATTGTTCGGCTGTGAGCTTTCAAGGAAGATAGAAGCTGGATTAATGTAAGCCAAGCAATCACCCCCTACTGACAGAAACAGTTTGTATGGTCACAATATTTTTATATATAATAAAATATTTAGCAGATGATGGGAGGAGAGTAAGATCTCTTCCAACTTCACAAGAGGAAACTTTAAATGATCAAAATATTTGCCCCCTTACTTTTTTCAGTGCATAAAAAAGGCTACAGGTAGATAATTATCTCTGGTTTGTTTGACGGTCTTTGATCATCAGCAGATATCAGAGATCCCCAGCAGATGTAAGAGACATATCACATGTGCGACTTAGCATCACTGGGTGTTTCAGCCTTTTCATCACAAGACACCCTCTGCAAAGGCAGGCCCACCACAGGCTGATCAGACCTGGGTGTGCGTCCATAACCTCAAGGAGCCCAGTTGGGGTCTTTCAAAAATAGCTTTTTCAGTTCTTCTTCTGGAGAAAACTGTCATCGGTGACTGGATGATATAGAGAGACTGATTTCTGACACTGCTATAGTTTGTGGGGAATTGGTTATGTGAGCGTCAGAAGGATTAGAGCAATATCTAATTCTTCTCAGAAATATAAATAGTCTGGATTAAAACAGCTATTGTATTAGATCAGACAACAACAAAACAGACACAACTTTTAAAGAGGAAGTCAACTGAAGTCAGACCATAAGCAGCAGCCAGTACTAACCTGTTGTAGAGGAGGATGTCAGGGGTCCAGATCTGGTCTGAAGGGAAACGCAGGTTCTGGACACCAGGGTAGTTTTCTGGATTCCAGCTCAGGTAGATATCTGTCCAGTACTAAGACCAGAGGAGAGATTCTGACTCCAGACTTTGAGGTGATGGTATATTTTTTTACAATGTTCTGTAAAAACCCATAATGTGCAATGTCTCGCTGAACTAATCTAATTGAACTTTTACAAGAGAATGATACTTTCCCTTGAAATAAGATGAGCTGCCTCTTGCCAAGAAGAAAATGAAAATGGAGGGGAGCAATGATTCTTTCAGTATTTACTGTTTCATAAAATTAAACAGTAATTCTTTTCTTTTTACTCTGACTATGTAAAGGCTTTCTTTTCAATCCTGGGCAGAAACACATTAAAATAACAGCACTAGAAGGGATGGAGAAAGTTCCTTAAAATGGTGTTTTCTTTTGAAAACATATGACTGATGCACGGTTAAATTTGGTTCAAGGCTACAAGATTTTTTATTCTTTGGCCTTATGTCCAGTCACAATCAAGCTGACGGCCACTTAATATGCTGCACTCTTCCTCCCTCCTCTTCTTCCTCCTCCCTTTATCCCACTTTCTGCTTGACAAGCTGCCTGAAGTGATGATTGAGCATGCTGATGCAGGCATTGCACAAACACAAACACACACACACACACGTTACAGTATTGAACATAATTGCTGATAGCTTGAAAATACTTGAATGGATGAGCTAACACTTACTTATGTTAAGTGAATATACAACAAATATTACACTATGCATATTGGTTTAATTATAAACATCCCTTGTTAGTCAGTACACAGTTTAACTTCATTACCATCGACAAGTTCTTTATGCAGTAGTACAAGTCTGTTTGAGGAACACAGTCACACAGTCTTTTAAGAGACGACTGTGTAATAAAATTGTAGATATGATTAAAGCCCATTATCTTGGTTATAATGTGCTCTTATCCAACTCGACTCACCAGCTGCAGCCAGGCATTGGTCATCAGCACTTGGTTCTTCTCATCCTGACAAAGAGGAAGAGGAAAAGAGCTTTTTTCTTTTGTGTAAGCGATCCCAACCAGGCCAATCTATGTGTGTACATTTTCTTTCTTGTATCATCATTCTGAAACTTTCACTCACCATAGAAGTTTTAATACTAACAAAATGAACTCACCACTTCCAAAACTCACGACGGCCTCTCTCAGTGTTCGCCACAATGACTCAGTTTTACCAAAGTTTATTCAGTTGGTTCCATTTTTGTTTGCAACATTGTTACTATCGATGCTAAAGTGATCATTTACTTGCATTGAATCGTACATGTTCTAAGGAGAATTATATATGTAGTTTTTACAGACGATATTTTAATTTTATTACATCATTATAACCTATGTTTACACAGAGGACAGGATGAATAGACAAGACTTGTGATACTGACAGGCAGACAGTATATGTGCAATTTATTGTATATGGTGAAAAGAGTGCTATTTAGTTTTTTAATTATTGATCTTGATGTATTCTGAGAATCTGATTGTATTTTTTGATTTACCAGTCTATATTGTACTAGAACATATACAAAAATATAGGAAAGTCCACTGAAGAATACTTTTTATGATTTGTCATACATTGTTTATTGTTACACATTAAAAACCTTTACCAAATAATACATTTTAAGTGTTTTCAAATCCTACTTTGCATAAAGTATTTGAGATATTATGCAGCTCGCTCCAGCTGCGAGGTGGAACTAGCATTTCTGAAGCATCAGAGTTTCTCTGCTCTCAGCGTAGAGTTGAAGATACAAAACAGAAACACCTGCACAAAAAGAGAGAGGGCAGCCCCATATCCCCACTTCTTTTTTTTCATTTATCTATCCGTCTCTCTCTTGTTGCTTTTCTGAGATGAAAATGAAGGCGCCTATGGCAAACTCATCTATAATGTGTTTCCTGGAAGTAGATGACCCAGAGGATGGAGTCACAGCTGAGAGTAATGATTGGAAATGTGGGTAGAAACAGAGATTTCAAATCACCCAGTGGTTTCTCTCTCTCTGTGTTTGTATGTTAAAAATGTTATGAAATGATGAAAACATATCTGTGTCATATATAATTTATAAGCTCAAAATATTAACTTCACTCAAGGTCACAATGCCTACAGCATTTTTGTGAATAGTGAGTATATACACAATATACAAACTGACACAGACTTTACTTTTCTTAATCTACTTGAAGTAAAATATTTACTGTCTGAGTCTGAATCATATCTATTTGTTTTTCATAGTTTAGATGTGACTAATTAGCACTGTGTCATGGCAACAAAACCACACTGTGTAAATGAGAATCTAAATAAACATGAATCATTCCTCCACCGTCAGACAGATTAGACAACAACTTCCAGAAACAAAAACAAACAATCCTGAAATTGCCCCACTGTGAAGAGCTTGAAATCCTGGAGCAAGAACACGCACGCACGCTTGCACGCATGGTCTTTATGTTATAATAAGTCAAACGTTAGAAATGAACTACTTCTGCCAACATTCAGCACAAGCTCTTTGGGAAAAGCTGTATAATTTATTATAAATTAGGTTGTGGATGAGAAATGTCTAAATGCATGTGTATGATGTGACTGTACTGAACAGCCAAATGGCTCAAATGTAACACAGGAGGAATTTAAGTTTCCATTAAATCCCATATTCGTCTATACATAACATAAACAACATGATACAAAATAAGACAAACCACATTCTACACCACCAAGAACCTGAACACTCAGCCACAAACACATAAAAAAATAAAACTTCAGTTTCTCTCACCACGTCTATGATCTGCAGCAGAGTGAGGCCAAGCTCCACCAAGATGGCTGCCGAGTCGTTCACCACAGGTCTCTCCAGTCTGTTGTAGTTAGCCAGCAGCTCTTTGTACAGCCTCCGCTGGTGCTCCCCCTGCAGGGTTCCTGCAGGAACGATAGATGAAAGAGAAAAGATGGTTTGTGTTCTTATTTTGAATTCAAAGCATAATCTGTACGTTGTTTAAACATCAACATTTGATCTTGCAGTTCAGGCCCGACCTTGGGTTTTTGTGGTTCTGCCGGACAAAACAATTTCAACTCAAACGTCATGACTCTGATTAAAGTGATAAATCTCCCATCAACGGCCTGCACATATTTCAGTGTCTGTGTTACACCCCTCCAAGCACTGCAGATAGTTTCTGAAGGTCACTTCTTGATTTATAGACACGGGGGGTACTCTCTTTTTGTTTGCATTTTAAAAACCATAAATCCAGAGTTGAAACAAAAGAATTTGTGTTTTGGATTCATCACTCCCTTTCCTGCAAATTGAGCCATGGGAGATATTCCTGTGTACTGAGGCAGAATTCTAATCTGGAAAATAACTTTAATAGTTTCAACCTTTTACCCTTGCTTATCTGGCAGCAGGCTGCAGCTAGATGATAATATGTTGTGGAATTTCAAATGCACCGTCACATACTGTATCTATACAGAATTTGTAGTAAGGTGTTCCAGACTCCCACACTTTACATCCTGTGAAGTTTTCTTCGTTATGAATGATGTATGAGAGAAAGGTCTGTTTTTGAGCTGAAATATTTGATGAATAATGAATAAATAAGCACATAATGTGCTGACATCTGCATATAAATCAGTAGAGTGCATCGTGCACAGACTCACACAAAGTGGTGTGGCTGGGGTCTAGTGTTAAGGTCCATGGTGATTAGGATGATGTGTTTGTTGGCTCATCACCATTATTGATCCTCTCTGCCTAACCTTCCACACACATCCAATTGTCCCAAAATAAAGGCAGGAGTAAAGGCAGGAGCACACGCACACACACGCACACACACACACACACACACAGACACAGACACAGACACACGCACACAGACACACACATACACACAATGTCCTTGAAGTCACTGATCTCACTATAGTACAAGAACTCACTGTGAGCAGCTGCTATAGCTCAAGCAGTGTTTTTTTCGCACACGAAGGTCAATACAGCTGAATTACTTTTCAGACTGGTATCAGATGTTGGCCACAACTGAAGCTGAGCGTAGAGGTCTGCAGTGTGAATATAGTCTTGTACATCATCCTATGCCGACCCTCACTGTGGGGCATAAAAGCCCAAAAACTGTCTATTGAGCTATTTTTAATGCCGTAAAATAAACAACTCATCACTGATCAGTAGATTTAAAAAAAGTGCACAGCTGGAAACACCTATTAACAACAGTGTAAGGCTCCTTCATATAAAAATACAGCCGATAATCCACCAGAAACTGGGAACAAGTGACACAGAAAATGAAAAGGGAGGAAATGAAATACAGCAATGTAATGTGGATGAGAAACAGTAAGGTACAGCGAAGGAGGGGAGTGTGTGAGCTCGGAGGATGTGTAACAGTGTAGGAGGAGAGGAGTGTGTCGGTGGCCAGGAACACTGCTGATTGGCCCATTAAAGATGTAATGACGAGAGTTATTGCAGAAGGGAGCCTGAGGTCAGAGACAGAGGTGCAACATGAAGCTCAACAGAAACCTTTTCTCTGCCACACATACACACTGTGATTAATACATCAGACCTCATCCTCTCCATCTATGCATCCATCTATCCAGGTTCCACTTCCTCAGGTGGAAGTTGCATTGATGGATCCATGTAGACTTACATTAAAACACGTTTATACCCACATGGACAGATTTACACTCATTTTACAACACAAAACACCTATATGCACAACAGATTCTGCATTTGCATGTAAATATAGCCTGATCTGTAGTTACTTTCCTGCCCCCCTCCTCTCCCCTGTGTTTTATTACAGTGAAATCTGAGCCCAGGTACAAACAAATGTACTAAACTAAACTAATAAAGTCCATGAATAAGAATTGAAAGCTCAGCCTCCATCGCTGCCTCTGTAATAAAACCACGTTCAAAAGGAATTAAGAGATGAAATAAAATAAACCACTGCAACAACCAAACATAGCAGAATACAGTTGGGATTAAGGGATTGATTCACAAGGTGGGAGGAGGAGGAGGAGGAGGGGGTTGTTGTTGTTTATTTTGTTTCCTCATTTTTTTTAATAATCTCGCTCATGAAGACGATATAAGAAGCTGGTAAGAAGAAATTTTTTTCCAAACACAGCGAGGGTTCTCATCAAACAGACTCCAACAGAGGGAAGAAGGAGAGGCGGCGGCGGAGGGAGCAGGTGAGCTGGAAGATTTGTCTCACTGTTCTCTAACATGGTTTTATTTCAAAACATGATGGAAAACCCTTTGGTGAGGTTTTCCTCTTTGACAGAAAGTTAATAAAACTCTTAAACCCTCACATATACTTCATTATCTTTTAATTAAATATGCTCTTTATATGGATTCAGCCAATAGCATGTCATAATTGCTATCTTGTTAATATAAGGGTAATGTGATGCAAATAATAGATTCTGAAAATATACCTCCCTGTGGAAAAAATGTTTCCAAATTTTACAGATTACGATATGGGGCTGCCAATAAATAGCTTCAGAAAAAACGCGTTCCAATGATGCAATTCACCTTTGACCTGTTGACCTTTTCCACACTGGACCTACATTCATTACTAGATGCCACTTAATAGTTTGACCTTTTGTGTCAAGTCATTAACAATCATAAACACACAACATTTTCATTAAACTTACATCGCAGCTAAAGAGGAGAAAATTAGTGAGTCCCACTATGTATATCAATCTTGTGTGTGTGAGTGTGTGAGTGTGTGTGTGTGTGTGTGTGTGTGTGTGTGTGTGTGTGTGTGNTGTGTGTGTATGTGTGTGTGTGCACTTGCTAAACACAAGCATCCTAATGATAATCAACTGAAGTAGAGAAGTAGATCCATCTCTGTGACACCATGTGGGTCATAACAAATGTCAGGGGTCAGCATGTGTGAGAGAAGGTCAGTGGCATTATCCAAACGATGAATTATCAGTATAAATGTCAATTATTCATAAATATAACAAAGTTATGGCTAAATCATTTAAAGGTTTTACCATCACAGGCAAAGGCCAGGAGACATGTTATTTCATAGAGAAACAACACAATCATCCAGAATTTCTTACATTGCCATCAAAGAACACAGGGAAATAAACGTTCCTCCTCAAATGTTACACATCCTATATCCAACCTCTTGGACCACACACTGATGTGATGCCGATCAGACCTCAGCCGTGAAGAATTGTACAGAATCTTTCAAATGTGAATGCTGCAGAATAGCAGCAGAAAATAATGATAAATGCATCATCATGACTGATATACAGCATATTTATCATGATTGAAAAGCCAACTTGGAGAGAATTGGAGGATTTGGCAACACTACATTTAAATGGAGCTTTCAAAAGCATGAATATTACATCTTGGTTAAATTAAAAAAAACACAATAAAATCAATCCTTGTTCCAAGAAGGATGCCTGGAGATGCTTGACGTGAGATGACTAACGCCCCATCTCACCATGTTTAAGAAGGTAGAAAAGAAACTATATCATCCCATTTATCTGTGTGTAAAACTCACACTCATCTTCTCACAACTATTTAAACTGGTAGAGCCTGATAATTTCAAGATTAAAAAGTCTTAGATTTATAGATATACACAGTCATATACTCCTACATCCCTAACACAGGACCATGGGGCTACACTGACAAGTGTCATTAACAATTTCTATCTTGAACAAACAATAAAACAATTTTATATTTTATATCAAACTTTTTTCCTCTCTTTCAGGAGTCACTGTCAATTTTTACCACCTCGTGTGTGCTCATTTAAACTGAACAGAAACAGGTAACACATCACTGTTTGACACAGTTTGTGTCAGTGTGTGTGCATGTGTGTGTGTTCAAACTTTGCATGCACTGATGTGTGCATGTTAACCTCAATGATACAGTACTGTGATGTTGCCCCTGAGCTCCAGGATGTCTGCACATATAATTAGTTCTAGTTTATTAAACAGAACAAGGCTGCCTCTCAGCACCTCAGGGACCCCGAGAGCATCAGCACCCAAGGGGACCTTTTATTTCAGCTCAGCAGCACCTTACTAAACACATTTAACATATTCACAAGTTCTCCTTAGAGATCACAAATTTATTAGACGAATATTAGATATAAGAGCTCTATCGAAGAATATTGAGAGGAAATGAAAAATACAGAGAATTCAAATCTGTAAATCTGCTCTGTGTATCTTCTTGCATTATGATTCATAGCCTGTGGTGGTCGGACAACTTGACCAAGTGTCACCCTGCCGTTTTTCATTTTATACTGGGCTCCAGCCCCTGATTCAACGTTTGTTCAAATACACAGGATATTAATCATTTGGTGTGTGTTTTTGGAATGGGACCCACTCTTTTCTATGCAAATTAGAAGGAGTGCTTTAGCTGACAACATAAAGACAGAAGGGTGGATTAAAAACCGACGAGTCAGGATGAGGCAGCTGCAGCCATGAACCTATTAGAATACAAAGATGGATAATTTAAGAGGTAACAATTATTTTTATTTTATCTAATGGTTTGGTTTGTAATTTACGTAGAGTCTAAATTTCTGTGTTCTATAAAAAGGTTTCTCAATTGATGGATGGATGGATGGAAGGGTGGAGAAAGAAAGAAAGAAAGAAAGAAAGAAAGAAAAAGGGCATTGTAAATTCACACCTCCATATCGCAGTATAAGGCAACAGGATTCAACACACGTTTAAATGTCAAATGCAAATGTGAGTCGATAACAGAAAATGCGAAGCACATTCTATCCATCTTCCCCCACACACACTCTTTCTAGTTTTCTAGATCTCATGTCAGTTCTTAATTCCTGCTTTTATTTCCACAAGCCACAAAAAGTTTGTCACAGCTCTTCACTGGTTCTCCTGTGCATTTTTCTTCTTCTCCATTTTAAATGTACATCTCTCCCTTTAAGCCTTTGTCCGTTTACATCATTCCAAACCTTGTGATA